CCACCGTCGGTACGTGCGATATAAACCTCACACGGAACCCCTTTCGTTCGGTAGTCCGCCCAGGAACTTCTCAAACCCAACCGCTGCGTCAGACTTGTGTTCAAGAAGAAAACACGCGTCCAACGGGAGAAATCGTCTCTGATGATCAGTGTGTACCAGTTGCCACCAATGCTCCTGGTTTTCGTCTTTCCCCCCCAGTCGAGATACACGCGAAATAACTTCTTAACTGCGCGTGTGCTCGTGCTCTTCTGGGCGGGTTTCGCCTGTCCCTTGGACATCGAACAGCCAAGACAGGGTAGCAGCGGTCCATTCGTCAGCTGCACTCCCTGATGCTCCGCCGTGATCTTGAGCAATGTCTCGTGGGCATGGCCGTGCGCGAGGTCGTACTCGTTGAGGTCAGTGGGGTTGGCCGCTTTCGCACCAGGAACAATGAGTGCGGCGCAGGCGGTGTGTAGCGTTGGCTTTATTTGATAGCTTCGGTGGGTCAGCAGCTTTCCAGTCCGGGGGAACCACACCTCCCCCCCAGCTTTCGTGGTCAGCGTGAGCCCCCCCTTCATCCCCGAATACGTGTGGCCCTCCTCCGCCAACGAAGACAGCGTCGACTGCTGCTGCGGCCACGGCCGCCGCCACGACCACGACCTTGCCCCTGACTCCTACTTGAGTACTGCTCCCTGCGGCCCTCACCGTCGGTAAAGTACGCTTGCTCTGCGCCCTCCGCCCCTTTTTCTGTCCCCTGCTCCAGCTTGTCCTTGATCGCCTTGTATTCGATCATTACTTCCTTTAGCACACCGGTCCGCGTCAACTCCTTCGCGTGTCGCAGGTTGTGCTTTGTCATGGCATACTCGTCCGAAAGGGCATCCAGGAAGAGGTGAAGGACGAACGTTTCGTTGACAGTTAGTCCTTTCTCGGTTATGGACTTTGCGGTTTGGAGCATCTCATTCAGGGCGTTTGGGTTTTTTTCACCTCTAGAGATCTTGGTCGACGTCAGGAACTCGAGGACCTCTGACGGCTGTACAGATGATTCAGGGTCGTGTATGGTCTTGAGCTCACGAAGAGCTCCCTGGGGCGTCTCTGCACTCTTCATGATTTTCCGATATTTTTCTTTAAACGCGTGAGACAGGAAGTTCCACGCGTGGAATGCGAGCTCTACTTGCTCGCTCCGGTACTGCTGTGACAGCGACAACTTGCTCGTTCCGCTGTTTACGGGGATCTCCAAGCTCCCGCTCTCTTCAAATTGTTCCGACAGGTTTGCGCCATTAGCTGCCATGCGGAAATCATTTAGCCATCCGTTGAAATCTTTCGATTTCCCGCTGAACGGAGGAGAAGTGTACCGTGCACTTTGGTACCCCGTCGCTGGGGTTGTGGCTTCGTATCCCAAGCCAACAGCAGCACCACCATCTCCCATGGCACTACGACAATCTTGGTTGTGAGCAGCGGCTACTCTCACCTCTTGGGGGACAAAGCCCCCTGCTTCGCCACTATGTCGCCCTGACGGGCCAGACTCTCGAACAGGTTCGCGCAGGTACCTCCCGTCCTGCGCACTCCCGATCCACGGTGCCCCTCCTTCGGCGTTCGTGGACTCCGCGGCGGCGCTCTCCCTAGCATCGCCGCGATCAGCGGCACCCTCCATGGTGCCAGCTGGCTCCTCCTTCTTGCTTGCCTTCATGGTATCTTCCACTAGCGACATTAGCTGGCTCATCTGATCCGTCAGCGAGCTAACTTGCGTCCTCAGGGCCACGAGCTCTTCTCTTGACCTCTTTCTGTCTTGCGCCGCAGAGTCGCTGGAGGAGTCACCCCCATCTTTGCGACCTGACATTCCTATTGGACTCTTCCTCGACGGACTGACACTAGTGTGTTCGTATATGTCCTTTACTTGGAAGGGGAAGACGTTTTATCTCTTGTATTAGACACGCAAGGGAAGTAGGGAGAAATGAAGCCCTCTTTGGAGTTCGAGGGGTCCTCGCACATGCAACCATTTCAAGGTGTACATTTTCCCCATTNTCCAAATGGAAAGCGAATATATCCGCAAGAGAGCGCAGCCAGCAGGGCTCTAAAAAACGTCCAAGCAGTTTCGTTAGAATATCATCGCCCGTAGCTATCGCTCAAGTTCTTGTTCAGCTCAATCCGCTACGTGGTTGCGGAGATATCGTCGGAAATGGGGGTTCCGCAGCATCACAGGGAGGGTCCCCTCAGGTATCTGGCCATATCTCAGCCCACAGGGCTTCAATCGTCGTAAAACTGACTTCGTTAGGTAGTCACGGCCCGCAGCGATCGCGCAAGTACTTTGACAACTCGTTCGACTCGGTGGTTCTGGAGTTACAGACTCAGGAAGGGGCACAGCAGTATCGTGAGCTCGGTATAAACATCCAAACGTGGTCTACGTCANGTCGATGACCTCGATCGGACCTGTGTCAGCCGAGATATGCTTACCCACGGGTTGACGGTGTCGTAGATAAGGTTAACTACGACATCACCCGCATCTCGGCGCACAGAGCGTGAATCAACGTAAAACCGACTCGAATGGGTTCACACCATCCTCAGCTATCGTGCAAGCCGTTACTTGGCTCGATCAGCCCGGTGGTTGCGGGGATACGATCACCCACTGGGGTCCGGCCGCCCCGAGAGTGGTGTCGTAGTTAAGCGCTTGACTACGACACCACTCATTTCTTCGACCAAAGGCCACGACTCGACGCCAAACCATTTACGTTGTGTTGCTAGAGGTGGCGGGCGTCGTTGGAGTCGGTGGCGGGTGAATTTCATCCGGTGGGTTAGGGGGAACGCCTACATTCGAGGGCCATGGCGTCCCGGGGGATGGTGTCGTAGATAAGATTAGATACGACACTACCCGCATCCCAGCGCACAGAGTTTCAATGACAGTAAAACCGAGTTTATCGGAAAGCCACGATCTTCAGCTATCACGGAAGCTGCTACTCGGCTGCATCGGCCCGGTGGCTGCGTAGATACCGTCACCCGCAGGAGTCCGGCCGCCCCGAGTGTGGTGTCGTAGTTAAGCCTTATCAACGACACCACTCATTTCTTCAACCAAAGGTGACGAATCGACACCAAACTATGTGTGCTGTGTCGCTAGAGGTAGCGAGTGTCGTTGGAGTCGGTGGCGGGTGAAATTCATCCGGTTGGCGCAGAGATACGCCTAAATTCGGGGTCCACGGCGCCCCCACGTGCCATGTCGACGTACGAGCTATTCTCCGATGTGCGTCTAGGAGGAATGTACATGTCCGATGTACATGTCCGAGTCCCTAGAACAGGAACATGGGCGATATGGGTGAAGAGGGGAGCGGGGGGTTGCCCTGGACAGTCTCGAGACGGTATTCGGCGTACACGTGGCTCCACCCCGCCAAAACGTCGTAAATTAATAGGTTTTGTTGAGGGCTAAGGAGAGAGTTGAAGTCACGGTGTTGCTACCGACGGCACAGAGGAAGGTCGCCTCGCGTTGCCGGCCTACAAAATGGACACCCCAACGACCAGGCTTTGGAGAGGATGTTGACAGACATTGCGTGCAAGACTAACATTGTATTCAACGCTAACGACCAGGTCCGACACTCGGTTAGCTGCGCCTGCACAACGTAGGTGAACCAGGACGCCCCAACATAATCACGGCCCAGCGAAAAAAAACAACAAAAGACAGAAAGTTAAACGAAAAACGCGCAGACAGATAAGGCCAGATAGCACGCATAGCGCGTACTTTGTCGTGTGCAATTCCAAACATCAGGCTTAGCCTGCAACGTCCGCTAGTAGCTGTGCAGCGTTAGCACGCAAGGTGATGTGGACTGGCAACGCCGGGAACGAGATGACAAGGGCAGCACACGATTCGAACTATCTATGTGTCCCGGCCGTTGATTTGTTACTAAGGACTACGTGTTGTACGCTACGGCGTTTTCTCTTTGGTAGGCCGACGGGTCTTTGCTCCAGACCCAGCACCAGAGACGTCTTTGATCCCCTGTTCCCTCCGGCTCTTGTCCCTCCGCCCTTCCGGGTTACCGACTGGTTGAACAGACCCGCTGTCGGCAGGCGCACCGTTGTCATCGTGTCGGTCCTGCTTTGATCCCTCCGACTTGGATTTCTTAGGCCTCCCTTTCGCTTGTACCTGCGCTGGATTCCCGCTTTTGTTCTCGCCGGCAGCTTCGGCAAGCTGGAACCTCACCCACTTGTCCAGTTCAGCCTGTATCTCCAAGGCTTTGGCGTGTGGAACCGTCCTCATTATTTTGGTGACGTTTTCCTTGTTCTTCGCCATCAGAGTCGCGAACACGCGGCGATGGTCACTCGCTGATCGTTCCGCGACTGCTTCTGCCGCACGTTCTGCGGGGTGCACGCCGCCCTCCCCGCCGTCGTCGTCGTACGTCGGCCCCCAGAAGTGTTCGTCTTGGCCGTGGTCACATCCATCCCAGCCGTCGCTGACCCTGCCCCTTCCAACACTCTGGAGACGGTCCAGGGCGCGTCGCTGCCGTCTGGTGATTGCCGCCAGCGTGTGTGCACGCTGTTGCCGTCGAACTCGTGGTTAAGCAGGCCTCCCCTATACTTGCCGCCGATGAAGCGAACTAGCACGGCAAAGTAGTGCCTGCATAGTAGGCCGTGGCGCAAAAGCTTCAGACAAGAGCACAAGTAGAAGCCACCCGGGCCGAATACCACAACATGGCCTGGCCGTAAAGGCGTGAGCTTGTACCGCACGGCGGCGGCAAGATGGACGGGAACTCGGC